CAAACGTGTAAATCATATTATTTGGGGAGATAATACAACAACTGATCCTTTTAGTGTGGAATTACGGCAAAAAATTGAAGAAAAAATAATTCAAAATAACAAAACCTACTTAAAGCATCCAAATGACTTTATTCATGCATTGTTGAGCTCATACGTTTATAAAAATTCTGAACCAGGAGAAAAAATGGAATTTAAGTCAGATGATAAATTAAAATACAATCAGTATTTAACAAATTGGAGTGTTCAAAAAGTATACAATAAACCTGAAGCTGGAAAATACTATGCCGCCAGTTTCACTAACGAGTCAGAATACCATATAGTACTTGCTCATAGAGGAACTACAGCAACAATTGAAGATATATTCAAATCTGACTCCCCGATAAGAACTGATATTAATGGGGTATTAGGGAAAGAAATAGTTGCTCAGTTGGTACAAGAATACGTAGTTACTAAAGAGGTTGTAGAATACGCAAAGGAAAAGGGATATCAGCTATCAATCACCGGTCATTCTCTTGGAGCATGGTTGGCTGAGTTCAGTGTTTATTTTTGTGCAGCTGATTTTCAATATCCAGCTAAAGCTGTTACTTTTGATAGCCCTGGATCAATAGGCATTGAACTTTTTTCTTCTAATAATAAAAACCTAGATACTGAAAAAAATCTTGGTAACTTAGATATTGTGACTTATCTGTCTTCTCCTAATTTTGTTAATACCTGTAATCAGCATTTAGGTACATCGTATAGGTTGTTTCCAAACGTAAAAACATCTGAATTACTTGTAAAAGTGTTTGGCTTGATTAATGTAGTCAAAAAAGTAGATATAGAACCAATAAGTTCAATATTCAGTCACAGTCTTGATCCCATAATTGAAACTTTTAATCCAGTAACCGGTAAACCAGAAGAATATCAACAAATAAAAAATTGGCCTGTTATAGAGTATACTCCTAAAAAACAAACAGGTTTAAATGTGGTCACTCAGTTGTTTTCTAAAGCTAGTAAAGACAATACCAATAAAGAAGAACTTGATACAAAAGATAGGTTAAATAATCCATTAAATTCTCGCACTCTTATCAGCATACTAAATTTATTGAGGGATATTTTAACTGGAAGGATTGACCAAAGTCAACAAATAGAATGTTGGAAATATTTAAAGCAAATTCCTGAAGGCGAACTCCCCGTGTCTCATATAACGAACCCTGAAAATGAGTTCTGCTTAAAATATAAAGGCCGTTATGATGTTGACAAGGTAAACCTATTCAAAGACAGAATTGATAAACCATCTTTACGCTACTTGAAGGCATTAGCTAACCAACGTGAAGATTTTTTATGCAAAAATCCCCTAATCAATAAACAACTAAATGTTATTCGTAAACAATATGTTATTGAGTTTGACCCTGATAATACTAACCCAAATAAAATAATAGAAAGTAACGGAGATGAGGATTTGACAGTAGAACAGTTAAACAACTGGTTATCAATTTTAGTTGCTGTAGATCGCGAGTTAAAGTTTACTTTAGACAATGATAATCAAGGTCAAAGATTTTCTGATGCGGTTACACAGAGCTATCATAAATTATCCAATTATGCTAATAAAATATCACCAGATCTTGTATCAAAATCATCAGCAGCTCAAAACAATGAAGATACATTTGAAAGAGTTCAAAAAGCAATTGAAGATTTTAAAAAACTTGGTGCGGCAGACTCTATAAAAGATGATTTCATTGCTAATAAAATTACTAGAGAAAAAGTTATTAATTGCATTCGCACAATGCATTCTTTGTCTAATCATTTTATGTATAAACTTCACGATGGTAAAACAGCTCGTGACTTGTTACAATCATGCAAAGATATTGCTGAGAATTGTATTCCATACAAAGAAGGTTCAGAACTATACTTTAATAATCTTGATCCACAATCAATATACAACATACTTCCAAAACGTGATAACCAACCTGAAGAAATAGCAGTTCTTTATACAAAAATAATTTACCATTTAGGTAGAACTTACATATATCAAAAACCAGGTACAAGGGATGATGGTAAAAAGTATTTTAAGTTAGCCAAATATTTAGGGGAAAAGTTTGATCTTTTAGAAGGTCACTTGAGTGTTCGAAGTGGTCTTGGAATAATAAAAGAAGACGCAATTGACGCTTCTATTAAGGAGGGCAGTTATAGTGTAGCACAGGCTAAAAGCAAGTTCTTAAAAGCCATAGAGTTATATGAGGAGCTTAAGTCTAATGAAAAACCATTGCATGATAATCCCCTTGCACCTCAACAAAAAAAAGTAGTGCCAAAGGATGATCCTTATAACAATATTGAATGTAATGAACAAATTGTAAAATACTACGGCAAACTTGTTTCAATTACACCAAACTCAGAAGAAAAAGTTCAATATACCAAAGAAATTATAGAATGCACAAAGTCCTTATTTGATAAACTACAAGAAGTACAAAATAAAAAAAGCGCCTCTGTATATAATACATTGGGCGATGCTTTAATTAAGTTAAATGATGCTAATGTAGAATCAAGTGAGCTAGTGAAGCTAATGCAGCTTGTTGAAAAAAAAGTAGTAAATGAAAATAAAGAACAAGCAGGTGAATTAAAAAGCAATTTAGAAATCATTTATTTATTATTTGCTGATGCAAATAGAAAAAGCTCAAACAATGATTTTACCAAAGCAGATAGTGCAAACGGAATGATGAAGGTACATAGTAGACAAATTGCCGCCTCACCTAAAGAAATGGATTTAATGTTAAAAAAAATAAACGAGCTAAAAAAAGAAAGGGACGCCGTTAATAAAGAACTTAATAGAGAAATAGATTATGGTGAAATTGTATTAGTCCAAACACTTCAAGAAGATTCTCAAGAAGAAACTCTTACATTTACTTACATACCAGAAAATTATGATTTTGAAAGTTACGTTGAACTTACTAATGCTTCTAAAAAAAGTTGTTCTATTCAGTAATAAATACAGAACAAAAAAAAAACATAATCTCTCACAAATCCAAGTTGATAATTTATTTTTTACAATTTTTATTAACTTTTGTAAAGTAATTTAAACTAACCACAATACTTATATTAATTTTTACTATTTAAATCTCTATTATTATGATAAAGTGTTTTTTTTTAAACCTTCAATATACTGATAAAGTGCAATTTTTAGATATAATAATTGATTTTAACTAGTATACATTTTTAATACATTTCATTAGTTCAAATATGTGCAATTTATAAAAGCCAATAAGCGTAATTGCAAAAACTTCAAAAAAAATTTTTTAGTGCAAATCTCTTATAAAACGCTGCTCAAATTAGCAAATAATAGTACTAATCGTTAATATAAAAGCAAGCCTTAAAAATTTAAACCAAATCTTTTGTTAAGTTTAATCTTGAAAAAGTTCAAAAATATTTCAAAAGAACTACTTGCTTAGGTGCTAACTTGAATTGAAACTTATATTGCAAACTTTTATAAAAATATACATACACCGACTGATTAGTAGGAAAATTCGAAGCAATGTATATACATATCTATTATTGGGTTTTGGTTGGAAAAACTGTACTTTTGTTTTTAAAAATCTAAACTATTTGATGCACTTTGGTTAAGTTTCAGTAATTAGGGGAAACTGGGGTATAATGGGGTACTTAAGGAAAAGTCATCAAAAAAATGGCAAAAATAATTAAAATAAAAACAATTTTTTAAAATGACAAAATGCAAAACAAACTACTATCTACAAATTAAATTTGAGGTATTATTTTGTAGCATAAATAGGGACCACGGTATACAATTGAAAATCTCGAAAAAAATTTTTTTTTTATGGGCAACGTAAAGTTTCCGATTCCTCGTGTGATATATCTGGCGGCGTTGGTTTGAAAAAAGTTATTAGTAAAATGAGTTGGGACAAGTTCGAGCTTATATTTGAGCATAAATAAAATATTTTGGTAGATGTTAGTTTGATAGATATTTAAAGCATTCGAGTTTTTAGGTAAAGGATCGGCATGAGTGAATTTATTTTTTATTATAAATCAATCTTGATGCGTGTTATTGGTGTATGTATAGAGAACTTAATTTAGATTTAATTTTACTTCCCCAGGCAATATTAGCATATATTAGGTGTAATCCCCAGGCAATATTAGAATATATTATTTTATATGTAAATTTTGAAAATAAAATAAAATATCTTGTTGTTATTGTAGGTAACTTTGTATATAAGAAAAATAGAGTTGTCGGTAAAATGCGAACTGCAAACCGCGAACTGCGAACCCGTAAAATGCGAACTTTTTTGCGAGCCAAAACATTATATTTTAAAAACCATTATTGTTATGATAAAAATAATAATAAAAAATCTCTCCAATTCTTAATTATCTATTTTAAAGCTTTATTTAAAATGAATTTTTTTATTTTTTAACTAAATTTTTAATTTTTTAACATTCTCCTGGGAAAGTATAGGTTTGACTTTGTAAAGTATACACTGTAAAAAAAAAAGGTTTTTAAAAAAGGTTTTTCACACTTGCATAAGGTTTTCTACCACTAGAAAACCTTTTGGTGTGTAAAAAATGGTTTTTTGAAAGGGTTTTATTAGAAAACCCTTTAGGTTTTATTATATATATATATATATATATATATATATATATATATATATATATATATATATATATATATATATATATATATATATATATATATATATATATATATATATATTTATATATATATATATATATATATGTATATATATACAGTACTGTGAATATGTTTTAGACCACTTATATAATTAGTTGTATTTTCAATTTTTTTCCTGTGTATTTTTTTTTTTTTTTTAAGCATACTTAAGTTGAGTAATATTTGAGAAAGGTTGAAAGAATATATTATCTTGAATAAACAAACAAAAATTTATGAGGAACATGAAGGATATGTTTGTTTATTTATTAAAACAATAATTTTCATAATAACTGCGGTAGTGGTGTAGTGGTAAAACACTCGCTTCATAAGCAAGAGGTTCCGAATTTTATTAGAAAACCCTTAAGGGTTTGTTCGTCGTAAATCATATAAAAAACCCGAGTGCCGTTTATTGATATCGAGGCATAATTAAAGAAGGATAAAAATAGAAAGGGTTTTAAATAAAATTACAATTGCCTAGAAATATGATATTTTAAATAAAATAAATAGTATTTTTATTTTATTATACTTAAAATTGTATTTTGTTAAAATTTTTAAAGTAAAATACGCAAAATTGTATACTTTTTAAGTTAACCGATTTATCTATGAGATTCCTATAGGTCAATTAAAATATTTTTACAATTTTAAAGTAAAGCTAATAATTAAAATTTAAAGTAAAACTAATAATAAAGTTAAAGAATTATGTCTGCAAATATTAAAAACTGGTCGCCTGCAGAAGTAGCCAAATGGCTGTTAGATAATGGATTTAATGAAAAGACTGCAGCCGAATTTGAAAGTAATTTTTTTATTATTATGCATTTTATAGTAAACATTTTAATTGTACTGTTTACATTTCAGATTCCTGATAATATACAATAGCCAAATATGCCCCAATTTTATTGTGAATGTGGCAACAATTATTTTTCATTTGGAAAGTAAATACTTTCCATCTTTCCATCAACGACATCTTATCTTGTTTCATGAAAATCAGCCTCTTTTTTACGTTAGATGTGTTTCAAGTGCATGCAAGCAAACTTTCACAAGTGCTAATAGTCTAAAAGAACATGTTCAAGGAAAGCACAGTAATTTATTAAGAAGCTGGTCTAATGATAATGAAAGTGATCAGGGGAGTAGAAATAATAGAAATGATAACATCATAGATTCATCTGAAACAACCGAAGAATCAAATGATCAAAATAATGTAAAATTAGATCAAGATTTTAAATCTAAAAATATTACTGATATGCTTAACACTTTGAAAAAATATTTTGCATTTCTTCTTTTGCGACTCAGAGAAGTGCACATACTTCCAGCTTCTGTTCATGCAGAAATTACAAAAGATATACAAAACCTACTTTTGATTACACTAAGTAGTTTTAAGGATGTTATATGTCAATATTTATTTAAAAATAATATTTTACCACTAGACAATAATTGGGCACATATAACAGACACAGAAAGATTGCTGCAATTCATGGGTGAGATGTCTTCAAATGAAAATAGACTAATTGGATTATTGAAAAGCAAAAAAATGATTGCAATGCCAAGACAAATAGGTTTTAGAATAAATAATACAACTGCTGTTTTTCAATACATTCCGATTCTAGAAGTTTTATCGAAATTAGTTTCCCATAAAGATGTTTACAATTGTTTGGGTGACAGTTACAATCAGTCTTTTTCTAATAATGATTTTATGATGTCTTTTTGTGACAGTGAACTTTTTCATAGTGACAATTTTTTTTCTGAAAATCCAAGTGCATTGCAGATTCAGTTATATGTAGATGAAGTTGAGCTTTGCAATCCAATAGGAGCTAAGCGAGGGAAGCATAAAGTGACTGCATTTTATTTTTTGTTAGGCAATATTCCATCTGAGTTTCGTTCAAAGCAAAAGTTTATTCATTTGGCTTTATTGGTTGAACATAAATTTATAAAAATGGCCGAATATGACTACACTGAAGTTCTTCGTCCATTAATTTATGATTTAAATGTACTGCAGAGAAAAAGAATTGAGGTTTCCGTTAATGGATTACATCAACGTTTAAAAGGCAAACTTACAGGTATATCAGCTGATATGCTTTCAGCTCATGCTATAGGAGGATTTTAGCAGTATTTCCATACTGGAAGAATTTGTCGTTTCTGTATGGTGGACAAGTCAGAAGTTGGAAATAACTTTAGTGAAAGCACTCTTCGTCTCAGAACACCAGAAATTCATGAATACCACTTAGCTGCTATAATTGATAATGCAGCAAACAAGAATGTGTATGGTGTTAGCAAAAAGTGTGATTTTTTAGAGTTAGATAACTTTGATGTACTTACAGCTTTCCCTCCAGATATAATGCATGATTTATTTGAAGGCATTATGCCAGTAACTTTGAAATGTGTTATCAAACATTTGTTACGTTCTTGTAATACATTATCAGTAAATAATATAAATGATTCTATAAACAAAATTCATTTAATTCATCTAATCGCCCTTGCCAATTACCTAAAAACATTGCATCAGATAAAGCACACATAAATGGAACAGCTGTACAGAAATTAGAACTTTTCCTATTGTTTCTGCAGTTAGTCGGTAATGATGTACCACATGGAAATATTGGCTGGGAGGTTTATCTTATACTTCGTGAAATATGTGACATTGTTATTGCCCCAATTGTAGATAGTGACAGTATATACATGTTAGAAGAACTAGTTGCTATGTTTTTGAAAACATTTTCTGAAGTATTTGGTTCTGAATATATTATTCCAAAAATGCACATGCTTGTTCATTACCCTCGTCTGATACGTCTATCTAAACATCAGTATTTTACCCTATCTAAACATCAGTATTTTAAAAAAGCTGCCTCAAATGGACGATATTTTAAGAATATTACCAAAACATTGTCAAAGCGTCATCAAATGTTGCAGTGCTGGGAAATGCTGACAGGTGATATGCTTTTATCTAATTATACTGTGTCTGGAAATGCACCTAGATTTTTTCATAACTTGGATGTTAAAGTACAAGAAGCTATAAGATTGTTACTTAATTTAGATATAGAAGGGAATGAATCCATAGTTATAGCGAAATCAATATCAGTTGTATATATTTATAGTTGTATATATATATAGTTGTATATATCATATGTAATAATGTATATACATATTACTTGCTATAACCTTGTATAATTACTTTAATGTGACATTATTTAGATGTCAAAAGTATATCATGTCAAAAATGTATATTTTGGTTACTGTTCACAAGCTGATTGTTGTAAGATAATATACCACTCTATGTACAGTTGTAACTTCTTTTTATTAGTTGGCTAATGCGGTACAAGGTGAGGATGACATAAGCATAAAAAAACATCAAGATGCTTTAAAAAATGAAATAAAAAAACAGACACCAAGCTTTGATATAATCAAAGATAAAATGAAAAGAACTTGTGAGTACAGACAACTTTTCTGCCATGCCCACACAGCTGCAGAAGTTCTGGAAGAATTTCCGTGTTTACGACTAAATATTTTTGTAAGATTATATAAAAAACTATTGTTCTTTTATAAAATGTACTTTTTTTTACAATATTTTTATTGACTTTCTTTGACAGTTATGAAAGACTATATAAAAATTATTACCTTATGAACATTTAAGTTTTAAAGTATAGGCTTATTTTTGTAATAACATAATGTAGGTGAATTTTACAAATGATTTTTTTAAATTAAAGTTTACAGCAGATGTGCTTTTGCTGTATGGTGTAGATGTAACCAATTTAAAAATGAAATTTCTAACCCTTTATGATGGTGTGATCAAAGAAGCAGCCAAAAGATGCAAAAAATATTGTGAATATTCAAGAATGATAAACAAATATTTAGAAGAAACTTTGGACAATGATAAACAACAGGGTAATTTTTATTTATTTTTATTTTTCATTCTTACAATTCTGGTTTTATTGTAAAATAAAAGTTGTAATTTTCCAACATCAATTAATACTAGTTATAGTAGGCAATGAGTTACACGAGTTTAGTAATTCCACGAGTAATTCCAGCAAATATTGATTAACTTGAAAACATTTGACCATTTCTTAATACATTACATGTGTGCTAATACTGCTATTTTATATATACTAGTTTTATCAAATGTATTATTTTGCATATATTTACAATTAAAGATATAAATACTTTTAGATTGGAAGGTGATGTTTGTTACATTGCTGTTACCCTCATTATTTGGGGAGAAAGAAGAGTTGTTTTTTCCCTTACCAAAGCAGGTAGATGTTTATTGGTACATTGTACACTATTTAGGAAATTGCACTTGATCTTTTTTTTTTTATAGTCCATTTTTTATAGTCGATTTCAATATAATATATTTCTTATTTATTTAACTATATAAACTAATATATATTTTATAACAAGATGGTCTAAGAAATATTAGGAAATATTAGATCTAAGGAAATGCAAAAATTTACTGGTTTGAGGAAATAAGTTATTGAATATTTTAAGTCCATGTAAATACTCTCATACGAAGGACACAATTTAAAAAAGTGATGTTGTTCTTTAGCTGAGGAGTTCGCAATAATTTGTATTATATGGTAATGTTTTCAAATAAGAAATTTTAAAATTGAATGATTTTCAAAGTTTTGTACTAAAGGGTTTTTAAGTTGTTTCAGGTTGTTTTTTTAATGAAATTAATTATTATATTTATTTATTTATTTATACAGCAAATACCACTTAGTCCAGTCATATTGTCACAAGACGACGAGTGGAATATATCAGTCGACAAGGAAGTTTTGTTTCTTAAAACTATTTGCACTTTTTCCGCGGCTTTTCAAGCATGGTTTGCAGCATTTTGGATATTCAGCATTGAATTCCCAAAAGGATTGTCCAATACATGTCAATTTTTAGAAAAAGTGCTTCTTGGTGGGAAAGGAAAAGTGCCAAATATTGTCAGCAAATGGGGCAACCGTCTTTTGCACTAAAATATGACTTTTGTTTTTTGTCTGTTTTTGTTGTAAATCTTTATAATTTATTTATGTTTTTTTGTCACTAAATTCGAAAAAACTTCTGAATATTTGCAATATTTCTAAATTTTATTGTGCTACTAGGCGATTTCTCAATTTAATTTTTGAAAATAGGTCTTAACGTTCAATAAACTTCAATATCACTTATAACGTTGAAATATAATAGTTGTAATAGTTAAATTTGTAGCAGAAAATTTGTATGATAACTCATAATAGTTTAATAAATTTGCTCATAATAGTTTCATATTATAGTTTTAACGTTATTTTCCAATTTTTTCAGTTTTGTACAACTTGTTTTTTTTTTTGTACAACATTTATTGACATGTCTCTGATGTTTTTATTATTTTATGTAAACTTTTTTGTATATTAATTTAATGTTATAAGATTTTAAACATCATTAAATAAGTTTTTTTATTGAGTTTCCAAATTGCAGTGGAATTAAAAAATCTAAACATTTGCATATAAGCAATATTATGTATAAATTAAAGTGTATATTCAATCTATCCTACATATAAAACTTTATACGTTATATATATCCAACTTTATACGTGCTTGAAATCGTTATTGCGCAATATAAAAAATTTTTGAATAATTTATAATTCAAATAAAAAAGAAAGTACAAGTTAAAAAAGGGTTTTCTAGTTTCGAATTAAAGGTTTTTAAATAAAGGGTTTTCTAGAAAACCCTTGAAGGGTTCCACCCTCGGGACAAAGTAAAAAACCTTTTAGAGCTATTTAAAAAACCCTTTTTTTTTACAGTGTACCAATACTTTTTGATATTTTTGTATTTAATGTTTTTATATGGGCTTTCCAAGAAACCGTTTCGTCAATAATTACCCCAAGAAATTTAATAGTTTTAGTTCTTTCAAAGTTTATGTTATCAATTTTTAATAATGATAGAATGCTTGGTATTTCATTTTTTTTGCTGGTTAGAATGAAACAAGATGTATTTTATTTTTTCTGTATTTATTGATACTTTAAACCAAATGTTTAGACTCTAAAAGTCATCGTTTGCAGATTCAAAGAGATTTTCAATTGATGCTAATGAATAAAATAAATTTTTATCATAAGCAAACATTATTGTATTGAGTTTTTTTAGTGATTGTGGAAGATCGTTAAGGTATAAGAACCCTCAAAAATCATAAAAAAATAAAAAAAAAGATTTTGTGTAATTCTGACACGAAATTTATCGCTGAACTCGATTTTGAAAACTATTTCTCAAAGTAAGATTTAGTTCTTGAGATATAAGTCAATTTCTTCAACTGGGTAAATTTGATCTGCCTAGCAACACGCATAGCAACAGGTTTTTAATCAGAATTGCAAGCTATTTTGTTGTTTTTTTGTTATTTAATAAACTTTTTTAACAATGGGTAAATCATGTCAAACTAAGTACTCAAAGTAAAAAATCCAAAAAATTTCATGGAAACAGATACACTAAAACTTTGCCAATCGATTTATTAGTTGCTCCTCTTATCAGCAACCCGTAAGTTTTCTTCAAAAAAATGGAGTTTTTACAGCAATATCAATGGACATAGGTAAAGTTCTTAGTTGCGAGCCAATGAGTCGGTCATGCAAAGCGTGTAGTCTAAAATTAAAACTTAAAGAAAATAATCCTTGTGCATTGAAGCTTTGAAGTCATCGCATGTACAGAATGTAGTCGGTAGTAGATTGCCAACTTTAAAAAAACCGTTAAAGGAATTAGAGTCACCGACAAATTAACAAATGGTACAACTAACCACCTACAAATCTGCTATCATTGCTGCTAGGCAAAATTCCACTGATTTAGAAGGTATAAAAAAGGCCATACTTGCAACATTGCTCCATATTGCACCATCAGCTAAAAATAATTGGAATACTTTTTGCCCTGATGGTATACATAGCTAGTGTCATTATAAACAGGACGAAGCTAATTCAACATCTAATTACAAGCCAGGTGCTGGTCTTTCAATCTTAGTCATCAGTCATCTAAAGCATTGATCTATTTGAAGAAGAATTAAAAAAAAAAATGCGTTCATGGTAAGACGCAAAACCAAGATGAGTTTTAATGGATTGATATGGCAGCACATACCTAAAACAAAATATGTATTGTTAATGCAGTTGTAGTTATGTGTATATAATGCTCTTTCAATTTTGATATTGGAAGATAAGTAAGTATACTTTTATTTGAAAAATTGAATATGATTCCTGGTATATACTCTTCAAGACTGTTCAACCATGAACAATAACCTTTTTACAGAGAATCAAAATCAACCAACATCTAAAATGAAGACAAGTTATTCGTGGATGAACAATAACCTTTTTGCAGAGAATCAAAATCAACCAACATCTAAAATGAAGACAAGTTATTCGTGGATGCAAAACAAAAAAAGATGACGCAAAGAATGACCAAGAAGGTTGTCTATATGATCCTGGTTCTTGTTCTTATAAATAACAGATTTTAAATTGAGTATTCGACATTTTTATTTGATAAAATTGGTAATGTAATATTTAAATACTTTTTTCTCAAAATGTCAATTTTTAACCTCCCGACCATCCTTTATCATTAGCCGTATCTCAGATTTGCATAAAATTTTCACCAAATGTTTATTGCAGCTAGTTGTACAATTGGAACTAAAATTTTTACAATAATGTTAGGAGTTTTTGATTTACAGAAGATTTTGTTCACAAAAATGCATTTTTTTAAATACACCATTTTGAAAAACTCAGCATAGCTTAAATACTTTATTTTTTAGAACATTTTTAGTTCAGTTTGTAGATTACTAAGTTGTGAATCATATGCCAAAAAATCCAAAAAATTTCATGGAAATAGATACACTAAAACAAAAATTATATATCCGGCTACATCCGACCGGGTATGCGATATATCCGGCCGGATAATAAATACCGGATTATCCGGACGGATATTATATTCGGTACACCTCTAGTTTAGATGTAATAAGTTTTTGAGAATATCAGATTCTAATTTCTGAAAAAAGTGAAAAAGAGATATACTTAAATTTAGCGGTGCAAAAGGACTGGATGCACGCGCATCAGTGGCAACACCCTAGATCCGCCCCTGGGTTGTGATGTTATAACACCCTAATACAATAATCATACATTCTAATAAATAATTTAAACTTTGTTACAGTAATTAAATATTTAAAAAGTAAAAATATTTTTTATTAATTATTTTTACT